CGGGCCGGCCCTGAGCTAGCCTACTTTTAAAAAAAGTTTTAACACATGCAAAAAAGAGCATAATTTGTAAGTGTACAGCTTGATGAATTATCCAAAATGAACATACCCACGTGCACACCACATGGGTCTGACGGAAATAGAACCTTACAGAAGACGCTCTCCTGCCCCTTTCCAAATATTATCCCCTCCTCCTCCTCAAAGGGGAGTCCTGACTTCTCACTATAGATTGGTTTTGCCTGTTTTTTAACTTCATATAATGGGATTATACAGTAGGTACTCTTTTGTGACATGAAAACTTTCTTAGAGCTGCCTTGTCCAAAAATGAAAAGGCCTGGGGACTGTATCGGGAAGAATTGTGGGTCCCCATACCCCCCTGAAGTACATAAGCAATGGCAAAGACTTGTTATTATGAGGGTAGTTTAGAAAGTTCATGGAGGGGGCCGAGCCCGTGGCGCACTCGGGAGAGTGCGGCGCTGGGAGCACTGCGGCGCTGGGAGCGCAGCGACGCTCCCGCCACAGGTTCGGATCCTATATAGGAATGGCTGGTGCGCTCACTGGCTGAGTGCAGTGTGGGCAACACTACCCCAAGGGTTGCGATCCCCTTACTGGTCACAAAAAAGACAAAAAAAAAAAAAGTTCATGGAGGGATTCGTATTACCTTTTAATTCCATTTTTCTACAAACTTTTTGAAGTACTCATACATTGGCATGCATCAGATAAAGATTCAGACTGTCCAATCCTAGGTGTCTGATTCCATGGTCAGCTGGCTAAAGGTGTATATCAAATTACTCTTGTTTTAATAACTTGTGGGGCACATTATAAAAGAGCATTTACATCCATCATATGGGCAAGAAATAAAAATATGAATAATACTTAATGCTGGGGAGTGTGAAGGGAAAAGAACACTTCCATTTACTATTGTGAAAGCCCAGTAGTCCCCCCCTTATCCGTGGTTTCAAGGTTTCAGTTACCTGCAGTACAGTACAGTAAGATATTTTGAGGGAGAGAGAGACCACGTTCACATAACTTTTATTACAGTATATTGTTATAATTGTGCTGTTTTATTATTGGTTATTGTTAATCTCTTACAGTGCCTAATTTATAAATTAAACTTTATCATAGGTATGTATATGTAGGGGAAAAACAGTAAATGTAGGGTTTGGTACTGTCCATGGTTTGTTTCCCCCTGCAGATAAGCGGGGAGAACTATACATGATAAAATTCTCTGGAGGGCAATTAGTTAATACCTAGCAAAATTTTACACGTGCATACTTTCTGGCCAGCAAACCCACTTCCAAAAATCTGTTCTCTAGAAACACTTGCAGCAACCCTGAGCTGTGCCTCAATTTCCTCATTTCTATAATGGGGATAACAGTGCCTACCTCAGTGGGTTGTTGCAAAGGTTAAATGAGTACACACTACACACACACTACTGCCTGCTACTTAAGTGTTAACTCCTACCCTTGTTTTACTACATTGGGATGGTTTATTTAGTGTTTTCCCAAAAGACCAATAAACCTCCAAATCGCTTTTTTTCCTACCAAATAACACACTCCTCAGGAAAATGAAACTGGATTAGCGTTTGTCAAAGTGTGCTCCCAGGGAGGCTTGTTTTTTTTTTTTAAAGATGACCGGTAAGGGGATCTTAACCCTTGACTTGGTGTTGTCAGCACCACGCTCAGCCAGTGAGCGAACCGGCCATCCCTATATGGGATCCGAACCCGGGGCCTTGGTGTTATCAGCACCGCACTCTCCCGAGTGAGCCACGGGCCGGCCCCCAGGGAGGCTTGTTAAAACGCAAGTTTCTGGGACCCACTGCACAGAATTCCTGCGGAAGCACCCCGGAATCTGTACTCTAACAAGTGTTCCGGCTGTTTCTTCTGCCCACCGAAGGCTGAGAACCACCGGGAAGACGAGGGAAGGCCTGCAGGGATTCGGCCGCAGCCAGCTCGGCAGACGGGGGTTGGAGGACCTGCGGGCCAGTGGGCGCCGCTCTCTCTGGCCCCTCGTACCTGGGCTCCCGGAAGGGCGGCTCTGTCCGCCGTTCGGCTGCTCTCGCCTCCTCTCTTCCGCTTCCGGTGTCCCCATCAGCCATGGCTGCCGCCGCTGCTGCCGGCGTTGGGGAGCCTATGTCCCCGGACGAATTGCTCCCTAAAAGCGACGCGGAGAAGATCGAAGAGGAGTTGGAGGAAGACGACGACGAAGAGGTACTACGGCCCCGCGGGTGCGGGGCGGAGGGTGGGCCTGCCCGGGGGTGTGGGCTCCGCGTGCTGCGGGATCGCGGTAAAGGCAGCTTCTCCGGGAGGCGGGGTTAGGGACTCAGCTGGGCCCGAGGGTGTCTTAGCTCAAGCGGGGCTCGGCGTCTCCTGGCGCTGCAGTGGGTTCGGGGGTGGATGCCGTTTCTTCGGCCAAGACCCGCACCTCCTCCACCACAGCTAGATGAGACCTTGTCGGAGAGACTGTGGGGTCTGACGGAGATGTTCCCGGAGAGGGTCCGGTCCGCAGCCGGAGCCACTTTTGATCTCTCCCTCTTTGTGGCTCAAAAAATGTACAGGTAAGGGACGAGGGCGAAGACGTTGGGGGCGTGCATGGGATGACTGTGGTGCTGTGAAAGAACATGGGCTTTGGAAGCAGCAAACCTGGGTTCGAGTGACCTTGGACTGGTTATACCCTAACCTGAGTCTTAATTTCCTCTTCTGTAAAGTGGGGATTCTTACCTGGCAGGATCGTTGTGGGGATCATTTCAGCTTTTCTGAAACATGAGCAGTTTTGTAAGAACTCAGGATAGATAACACAGCTACCAGAACCGTTCCTCCCGTCTCTGGTAAGAGTGTGGTGCAAGGAATGGATAGAATACACTTATCAGAAACATTGGAATATGTAATGTGAGAGGTTTGGTTACTGATTCGTTCTTAGCGAAGCTGTTTTTGTTTGCATTTCTCCATTCTCACTCTCCCTCTGAAGGTTTTCCAGGGCAGCCTTGTGGATTGGGACCACTTCCTTTATGATCCTGGTTCTTCCCGTTGTCTTTGAGACTGAGAAGTTACAAATGGAGCAACAGCAGCAACTGCAGCAGCGGCAGGTAGGCACATACTCTGGGCTTTTTTGTCAATGTTGGAGAGACAAGTTATTTATTTCTCCCAGCACCTGGGTAGATCAGCTGTTAATGAGTGGGTAGGGTTTGGGATCAGGCCCATGCTTTTAGGTGCCTGTGTTCTTGTAGACCTTGTAGACCTTGTCTACCCCATCAGGTATGAGGAAATTGAGATCCCCTAGGTCTGTACAATGTCTTACCTCCCTCCTTTTCTTTTCCAGATACTTCTAGGGCCTAACACAGGGCTGTCAGGAGGAATGCCAGGGGCTCTACCTTCACTTCCTGGAAAGATATAGATTGTCACTACTATATTTTGAGCTGTCTTGGTGGGAGAAATTTGAAATTCAATAATGTTTGAACTGCTGATTATTTGGAATTTTTTTTTTTTTTAACTTTGGCACATTGATTTATCTAAAAACCTGATGGGGAGAATTCTCTCCACATTGTCTCACAGAGAGACTCTCAACTTGCGACTGTGCTCTCCACGGTGTTCTGACTTCTGTCCTCACTCTGATACCAGAGTGCAGCCATGCAGACAGTTATTCCAGCTCTGGCCATCCCACCCCTTTCACTAAATTGCTCCTAACTAGAAGATCTCTCTATCCCATTGTGGGGTAGGAACTAATGTAGTGCGAGGGATGTACCTCTGACCATTAATGACTGTTTTTTTTTTTTTTTTTAAGAATGGAGATGTTGGGGAGGGACATGCACACAATATAAAACAAAATGCATTACAGCTGTAGTATAAGGCAGCCACTGTGAATCCTTAAGTATGCTGGCAGAAGGGAGATGGGCTACAGCTTCAGTCGCAGGATGAGGACAATAGGGACTGGAGGATAGAGCAGGAGCTCATTTCCTCTGCACATTTTGGCTATTAGACCTGTGTGTGTGTGTGTTAAAAAAAAAAAAAAAAAGTCAGTGCTCACTTTTTGTATTTAAATATTAAAAATGATTCCAACTGAAAGTGTCATCCATGTGCCTGTGATAAATACCTTGAAATTACTTAGACCATTTTAGAAGGTTAAAGACATGTACTATCTCTCACATTTCCTCTTACCGAAGCCAGCACTGATTGACCCCTTCGTCCCAAGTTAAGTTTCCAAAAGTGAAAAAGAAAATTCATTTTTGGCCAAGAACCTCTTAATAGCAGTCTTTGCCCTGAATTCAGACAATCACTTTCAGATCCACCAGCCTAAGACAAAGGATTGGGGCCCTGTGCTTGTATAGTCTACAATGACACTGCATAGTTATAAAGTATTTGTTAGAAATAACTACTGATTCCTCATCTGGGGAGGGTTGCAAATAGGACTTTTTTGTGACCTAGTTTTTTAAAAAATAAATGTTGAGATGAACCACTGATGATGAATCCAAATGTAGCCCTTTGACTTTGCAGTATTTCCATTTAACATATATTTTTATTGAGCCTTGTGCTAATAATGGTATTACAGCCTTTATATGCATTATTTCTTGGAATAACTACAATTTAGGAGGTAGTGTTATTCCTGTTTTACAGAGGAGGAAACAGCCACAGAAAGGTTAAGTAATTTGCATAAGGACACATAGTGCATCTGGAGGATTCAAATCCAGGCAGTCCCAACTATAGGACCCTACTGTACACTCAGTGCTGAGGCAAACCAGACCTTCTGTTCAGATGCCTGATTTTCCACTTCTTAACTAGGGAAAAACACTAGTCATCTGTCAGTGTCGTACAAACTCGTACTTCAGTAGATAGGCTCTTCAAGTTGTCAAGCCTAATTTTTGTAAATTAAGGTAAACTGAAAAATGCCTTGGATGTCTTTTGAACCAATTCCCACTTAAGTGAATATTTTTTCTGGATTTTTCAGGTTAAAGGTTTGATCAAGGCACAATATAGCTCTAAAAGATGACTTATGATGGTAATGAATTCTTTTTAAAGCAGCATCATACTAAAGTTTATTTTTCTTCCTTTACATAATTATAGAATTCAGGCAGACAAGAAGATTTATGTATGGAGTTTTTCATTTTTAATATTTGGCTAAACAAAATACATCTTTTGTAAACAAACCCAGCACAAGGCCAACAAAAAGAGGGGGAATAAAAGCAAGAAAAACAAAAAGCCTAGGGTTGCCCCTTATTGGGCATCAGGGTCCGGCCTGCTCCCTTCCTTAAAGGAACTGAGGCTTTTTGCCCTTGGGCATCAGCATGGGTCCCTGTTCCTGAGCACCAGAATTGGATATGAACAGAGAAACCAGCCCTGAAATGTTTAAACATCTTTGCATATCCAACTGGCTCATGGACTCCAAGTGCACGGGGACTCCTTTGAAGTGCCATTTGCACAGGCCCAAGCAGATTTGTGGAGAGGAGTTTCCTCCTCTTCCCAGGAAATGGCTTACTATCACTGACAGTGCCAATGGACCCAAGGTCCTGCTTGTGACAATCAGCAAGGTTGGCTGTAACTTCTGGCTGGTGGTGGTTGGAATGTCATCGGGCAGGGGTAAAGAGCTCCCTGTGGTGCTAAGCAGGTCTGGTATAGAAAATGGTGCAGAAGAGACTGCGGCCAGTTGCCGAGAGGGCATAATGCAGTAGCCACTTTGTGGCCGCTGTTACTCAGCATAAAAAATGGCCTTGTTGGATTGAAGATATATGTGCAGAAAAGGTGCTGGTGTAAACATGCACTCCAGTCACAGTGGGGAGAAAGCCTCAGCTTCACCCCCTTAAGCTTGCTCAGGGTCAACATGCAAGCCCCAGGCTGGCTTTGCTGCTGGAGAGAAGTCTGGCCAGTTGGGGCAGCTCTCAGACCTGCCAAGACCATTGATCTGTAAGGGCTAGCTGAGTCACCCTTGCTGGCCCACCTGCCTTGAGGCAACCACTACCACTTTGGTAACACGCGTGGTATACTTGTTTCCCCTTCTCTTTTGTTTTCCAAAGTTACAGGAGAAAAGTGGCCTACAACTGCTTCAAGAGGTAAGGGGTGGGTTGATCCTAGTCGATTTGTAAAGGAAACTACATGATGATGAATCCAGATATTGTAACATAATATACATAGCCACCCACTTGAGGGCTCTGCATCTTGTCACTACAGTGACAGTCTCCAAGCCTAGAACTTCTACCAATTCTAACAGCTCTTAAACTCTGAGAAGCTTGTACTTTCCTCACCCAACTCTGTCCCAAACTAGTGGAATTTGATGTTAAAAGAAGGCTTATTTTTTTCTGGTTCTGCCAGAGTGGGTCAAGTGGGAAAACTGCCTCTCGCCTTGTCTTTTGCCCCAGAGCCTCCTAAATCAATGTAGTGAAATGGAAGGGACAAAACTGGAGTAAAGAAAAGAAGCCACCCCATGCCTGTCCCAGTCTGGCTTTAGCCACATCGTCTTAGGTATCTATCTCACTCCTGTCACGCTAGAATGTTGTGGGATTGAAAAACTCAGCTTGAAATATTAGAGAACTTTTCATTATAAAACTCCAAGGCTGGCCATAAACCACCCGTAAAAATGGGGCTAAGGAGTGGCATTAAGCATTGGAGACAACATGTTGTACCACTGCTAGGGTTTTGGAGATGGTTTCCTGAGAGACCTCTAAGTTCTGGGTCCTTCAAGCCAGTCAGACTGGCTTTGCATGTACTGTGTCTTCAGACCCACTGGTGTGACAGGAGAGGGGAAGTGGAGGCAGCATCACCAGGTGAGTCTGGAGCATCAGTGATAACTCCAGCAGAACCTCTGTCAAGTCCTCACAGAAAGGGGAAGATAAGCTAGGACCATCTTTCTTTCTCCTTTTCTCCCAAATAAAATAAGGGTTTCGATCACTTGCCCAAAGGGCATAGGGCTCCTACCTTCCTTTCCCAGGAACAAACAACGCTGGGTGGTACTTGTAACAGTCCACATATCTGTTCTACTGCACTGTCAGTCAGAAGGGGGAAAACCCGATGAGATGTTTAGGGAAGTGGCAAGGGCAGACCCACCGTAGAGGCCACAGCACTGAAGGGGTGAGCTGAGGGGAAGGTTGGGCAGAACTGTGTTACACATCAGCCCTCCAACTCTGATGGGCCTCCACCTCTTCTGGTACCACCAGCAGGAGTTCACAGTTCTTTCCTCGCAAATGATGTTTTAGAAATTTCCTATGGAAAAAGGAATAGATGAGAGAAAATGAAATGCTGGCAAATTGCAAATTCCAGTCTGGGGGCCACATGCTCACCAGAAACCTCATTATTTACCCTTGGCAGTCCTATAAACATTCCAATAGTGGTCTATTTTTGGAGGGTTCCTCATTCTGTTACTCCTCAATCTGTCCAGTTAGAATTCCAATCTGAATTTTGGCCATCTTTATATACTACTGACAATAGTACCTGGTTCTGTGAAGAACAGAACCCAAAGTACTCTAAAGGACTTCTAACTTTTAAAAAACTTCTGTTACTCCTCAATCTGTCCAGTTAGAATTCCAATCTGAATTTTGGCCATCTTTATATATTACTGACAATAGTACCTGGTTCTGTGAAGAACAGAACCCAAAGTACTCTAAAGGACTTCTAACTTTTAAAAAAATTTTTTCTTCTTTGGTCTCAGGGAAGTTTAACCCTCTCTGGCCTGAATGTTTATCTTCCTTCCTCTGAAATGGCAAATACACTGTCACAGTTGTCTAAGTGGAGAGAGTGTTACAATGCCAGCCCATACCAAACCAGAAGGCCAGTATTCCAGGCTGTGGAACTTCCCTACCAACAGTACTTAAAGTCCTGACGGGCCATCAAAGATTAAGATCTTTAAGTCTGAGACCTTATGATTCTAAGTTAGGCAGGGAGAGGATCCAAGGAGATAGGAATTTCATTTCCTTTGTCAAACAAAGCAGAGCTTAACTTCCCCAACATACCAAATGAACAGCCCAGCACCTTAGCCACAACAGGCGGAGGTTACCTGAGCTCACTTTCGCCTCCAATCCACTCGGGCATCTTGAGTTTGGAGTCGAGGTTGTAGTAGGCCCCTCCCACCTCTCGAACACAAATCCAGTGCTGCCTTTTGAGAGGCAACTTCAGTGGACCCCAGCATAGGCTGGAGGGCAGATTCATGATGAAGCCCATGACGTTAGTGAGAGCAATGACACTGACATCCCTGTGGGAGAGAAATGGTGTCATGCTCTGAGGCAGCTAATGGCCCAAGGTTCCCTGGCTGTAATACCACAAGCAGTCACCTCCCCACTCATGCCACGAGTCCCAGGCTTGCACCACAACCATGCTGTTCTCCACCAAGTCAAGCCTTGTTCAGATTACCTGCGCTTGTCCCACCAAACAGCTTCATAGCCTTTGGTTTGAAGTGCTGCCATGATGACATTCACATCATAGTTCCCATTTCCCAGCATGCTCTTCTTGTGGGGTGTCACCATGGTGTTTGGAGACAACCTACAAATGTGAAAAGAAGGCTAAGACTCGCTGGTCTGCTTGACCCCTCCTGGCCCTACACTACAGGGACAGAAGAACACTTTACACCACTGTCCCTGAAAGCTACAAACCTGATACAAACTACTGATAAAAGCTACTGTCCCTGATACAAAACTTAAAAAAAAAAAATACTGGAAAACAGGATCTGATATTTTCATTTGCATGGGTAGTAACTGTTGTTACTCTTTTTCACAGCTTAAGTGCCTTCGGCTTAAGGCCTAAACACTTGGTAATCATTAATTAAATACTCAAAGGTGTACAGGGCCCAGGCAGGTAACATAGACATACAAACCAGGGCTGGATGTAATGCAATAAAAAGTAGTAAGGCCTGTGTTAAATGCATGACCCACCTAATGGCATTCCAAATATACATGTGCATGTATGTGTGTGGTACCTGAATAAAACTTAAAAATACAATAAAAAGTAGTAAGGCCTGTGTTAAATGCATGACCCACCTAATGGCATTCCAAATATACGTGTGCATGTATGTGTGTGGTACCTGAATAAAACTTAAAAATAACACAACACACAATCAATGGAAAGAATTTTTTGTGCGAGACGACATTCAGCCACAGTCCCAGTTTGCCCACCCAGCTTTAAGCCATTTTTGCCAGGTCTCTTTAGCTATTTCATTTCAAGACAAAGTTCGTGCTCAAGGCATTTACAATCCTATTAATTTGCTTTCATAGTCTTGTGAGGCCAGGAGCTGAGGAAAGGCCATCTCAAAGGAAGGATCAGCATGCCTTTGACCTTGGCGTAAAGAGTAGGAAGAGAAATGTGGTGAGTTCCTCAGGACAAAGGCAGAAGGTGTCCATGAGGCCATCTCCGGAAGAGAATCAAGACTTTAGGCTAAGGATGTCAACTCTAAATGCTTAAGAAATGTTATAAAGTTTTTTTTAACTTCTCTATACACAGCAACCATACTGATATTTTTCAAATATATACTCCTGCCACAGCTTAAAATCTTTCAACTGTACTGAAAGCACTTACATTCGATCTAAACAAATCTAAACTACTCCTGTCCTGCAAGACCCTCAGGATCCTGCTGATCTCATCTCTTACCTCTTACCATACTGCCCTTCTTTCTGTTCCCTGAATATACAAAGAAAGCTCTTTCTTCCTTTGCACTCATTTGCCATTTCCACTATCCCTGCTGTCTGGAATGTTCTTCCCCTAGATCTTCGCATAGTTTGCTCCTTATTATTTGGGTCTCAAATGTTACTACCATAGAGAGGTCTTTTCTGAGCACCCTACGTAAGTTCCTCCCAGTCACTTCCTCTTACATCAACCTGCTTTAATTTAATTACAGCCCTTTGTCACTGCTAGATATGTTTTCTCACTTGTCTGTTTCTCCACACTACAATGACAAGAGGGGCCTTGACTATCCTGTTAACACTACATCACTAGGGCCTATAGTGTCTGACACACAGTAGGTCCTCAAGGAATTTTTTTTTTTTTGTCTTTCTCGTGACCGGTAAGGGGCGCTCAGCCAGTGAGCGCACCGGCCAGTCCTATATAGGATCCCACCCGAGTGCGCCACGGGGCCGGCCCCTCAAGGAATGTTTATTGAAATGTCTTCTGTGTTTATTTTTGTAATCCTCTTTCCCTATAGATATTAGTAGACTCGAGATTAAAAGGGTTAGGCTTACATGCTCATCTCTGGAGCTAGCAAAGGGGGATCTGAGGACACTAAACTCCACTCTGAAACCAAACTTTATTTTACGTGTAATAACTACAATTTATTGAAAACCTCTATGCCAAGCACTATGAGAGATGCTTTAATACGTATCTCGTTTAATCCTCACAATAAACCTATGAGGGTATAAGTTATTTCTATTTTATAGGTCCAAAAACTGAGGTTTGGTGATTTTAACTGACTTGCCCATGAGCACTTACAAGTGACAGAACTAGGATTCAAACTTGGGTTACTTTGAATCCAAAATTGTGTTTGTTGTCTTAATGTGGGAGGTGGTGGCTGGTTGATAAGAGGAAAGGCTGGCTGAGTCTCTAAGTCCTGGGTTTAAAACATAGCTTACTGAGACAGATGTTCTCCATAGGTTCTTGGGTACTTGGATTAAATAAGGAAGCATATGAAAGAAGACTTAGCTCAAGATAGAGCAGGTTCCTCTCCCATCACCAATTTTTCAACAGCCTCTCATTGTTTTCAGTGAAAGACAGTACATGAATAAAGGTTCCAACAAAGAAAATGCTGAGTGTTCCACCTCTTTCACCATTTAACTTCCTGCCAGGCTCAAACCTTAGAGCAGTGCTTTCCCAAGTGTATCCTCAGAGATACTAGTTTCATGCTAACAGGATCCTGGAAGGCATCCAATATAATAATGGCTGAATGAACCAAATAAGTAAACAGGTTTCCTGCAGGAGTTCTTGGAGTCCTTGATATGCTAATCTTAAGGGGGTTATATAATATGCTTCAGTTTCCAAACATATTTGACCACATAAACATTTGTTTTAAGGTGCACCTTACAGGACTAGTGTTCCAAGGATCTCTCTTCCCTGTCCTTCATCTTTTATCTCAGATGCAAATCCTTTCTTGTATATTCCCACTACCTTTCCTCTAACTGTAGGCCCCTCACCTCAAACCTGGACTTTTGAAACAGGTTCCTAAATTGATCTCCTTGCTTCCAAACTCTCCTTCCACCAATTCAGCCTATGTATTCCTGCCACATTCACCAAGGTGTCATTTCACTCCCTTATATAAGAACTGACAGTGGAGCCAACCAACTGACAGGTTGGCCAACTCCAAACCTCCCAGCCCTGATGTTTCCCTCTCATTGAGCTTAGTGCACTTTAGGCACCATGACCACTGTGGCCTCTATTGTAATACTCTATTTCCTGCTCCAAGCCAAATTCTACAGCTTCATCAAGCTCACATCTTATCTCTCCCATGGAATCTTTCCTGGCTCCTCTGTGAGAAAGGAGGGAGATTGGGAGAACCACACATCTGAGTTCACATCCAAGTACCATCAACATTAACTGTCAGATTTTATCTCCATGCCTGTTACCTCATCTGTAAAAATGGGAATGATTCCTATCTTATAGCGCCCCTGAAGAATTCAGCTATTTTATACATGTCCAGCCAAACTGTAAATCTCTGAAGCACAGGGGATGGCTCTTCTCTTCTGTACCTCTCACAGCTAGGCATTGGCAAGTGAATGGCCACATTAAAAGTATGGTAGTTATCAACTGAGAAAAGGTGTTGTTGAGTAATAGACTTATCTCATCCAAAGGCTAGACAAACACATAATAATAACACAATAGCTAACATCTGCAGAGTACTTCTGTTTTACTGGCCCTGTGAACCATGCTTTATTTTGAAACACATCAGGAAGTTCTGAGCCATGTTTTCTTATGTCACATTTCTTCAGACTTATAAAAAGGAAAGAAATAATTAGAGGGAAAATTTTTGATGAAATGTCTACCTATCTCCCTTTTGCTGAAAACCCAAAATCATCACTGTAGCCAGACATAGTGGTGACCTCAATGCAGGACCAGGGACTTATCTGAGGGCATAGACATTAGGGGAAGCCTGGACTAGAGTCTATCTTATCACTTTTAGATCACTCCAGATCTCATGGCTCTAACCTCTGGCTGTGATGACAAAAATAAGAGGCTTGCTTTATACCTGAGAATTTCTATAGATATCACTAAGACAGTCCTGAACAGGAGTTTGTCAAGGAGTCTCAAGAAAAGTTTCCTTTGGAATCAGAACAGGATCCCATGGAATTCATTGGGACCAATGTGTTGATAAACCCAGAGGCCTGTTCAGAATTGTCTCAGGTTTAGAAGTTGAATCCAAGCTCTGCCACTCACCAGCTGTGCATGACTGCAAATCACTGTAACCTTTGCACCTCAGCTTCTGTACTTACAACATCTCAAGATTGTTGGAAGGACTAAAGCCCATAAAAGCAGCTAACAAAGTGGGCACTTGATTATTGTTAATAAAAGCAAGTACTGTTGTGTTGGGTGCACTGGATGGACCCCATACTCAAATGACCACTCCACTAGAATGAGTCTCCGTGTTTCCTATATTGACTGGTTTGGCCAATCACCTGCTCAGGGACCTTATAATGGCGAGGGCTGGAGTAGTACTTACCCTCTGTGGTGGTGAATGCTGGTTGTTCACTGCTATCCCTAATCTTTGTTCCTTCCACCTTTCATCAGATTTTTTCCCCCTGGTACCCAAGCTAGTTTTCATCTAGTTCGATTTTAATATCTATTCTATTTGTGAGAGGAATGCACAGCTAACTCAAGAACATCTAATCATTGAAAACTTGGGTTGAATCTAGTGAAAATGTTTGAGACCTGAGCGTTTTCAAAACAACCTAACAAAGCTGCTACTGTATCTTTTTTTTTCTTTTAATAAAAAAAAGATGACTGGTAAGAGGATCTCAATCCTTGACTTGGTGTTGTCAGCACCACGCTCTCCCAAGTGAACTAACTGGCCATCCCTGTATGGGGATCCAAACCTGCGGCCTTGGTGTTATCAGCACTGCACTCTTCCAATTGAGCCACGGGCTGGCCCTTACTGTATCATTTGACTTCTATGTCCCCTCTTTTTCAAAGCTTAGAGACATATATGATAAAATGTACGAAATCAAATATCCACATCTTTATAGATAAATACCGATGACACATACCCAGTTTCTCTGATCTTTTCTGCAATTTTACAGGTTGAAAGTGGATCCTTTTCAAACAAATGACTTCTGCTATGGCTGTAGATGTTACCACTATCTTCAAATCCTGGGCCAAGCCTTTGTCACACCTGACTCCTCTCTTCCCAGTCCTCTTGTTGCTGCCAAGTCATTAGCTTAGTTCTTTCTTTCTTTTTTTTTTTTTAAGGATGACCGGTAAGGGGATCTTAACCCTTGACTTGGTGTTGTCAGCACCACGCTCAGCCAGTGAGCGAACCGGCCATCCCTATATGGGATCCGAACCCGGGGCCTTGGTGTTATCAGCACCGCACTCTACCGAGTGAGCCACGGGCCGGCCCAGCTTAGTTCTTTCTAAGTTCCTATTTGTTTCTATTCCAAGCATGAGTCATCTCATATCCATAACTCTATTGAAACTCCACCCCGCTTTTGTATTTCTCCTCTTTATCTGGCTAAAATTTAGCTGCTGGGATGAACTTCCTCTCAACAAATAGTACTTTTCAACATTGTCCTCCCATTTCTACCATTCATTAGCCACATTTCAAAACAGCACAGAACTTCAGATCTGGGAAGTTAAAGTTATCTAGTTAAACTTGCCATCATTACTTCTCTTCCCATTGAGATCTAAATATATCATCTTTTCACTTTAAAAAAATTTTTTTTAAAAATTTTTTAAAGGTAACATTTATTATGTAAACTTTACTTCATCATTTTTTTGGTGGCTGGCCAGTAATGGGATCCGAACCCATGAACTTGGTTACAAGATTGGGCTCTAACCAACTGAGCTAACTGGGCAGCCATGTTTTCACTTTTAAATTGCTCCGAATTCCATGCTTCTAACATCACTTAAATCTATTCTCCAGGTATGGTCAATATATAGCTCTGAAATATACTGCTCAGAGGCTGAGTCCTGTTCAGCTTGTTTTCTCTACAGTGCCTAGTGGTGCCTGGCACACTGCGGGCAGCTAGTCAATGTTTGTTTAAAAAATTCCATCTTCTCTCCCTCACCTCTCCCTTTGCTTTTTCCTCTGGATTCTTTTCACACTTCTATTTTTGTTCCTATTTGTCCCTATAGAACCTCCATCCAAAATAGATAGAATTCCACTTCAGGAGTGGGGACAGAGTATACTATCTTATGTATTGGTTTGCTTTTACTTTGAGGTGGATCTTTATATTGCGCCAATAGGAAATTGACAAGTGCAGTGCAATTTGTTAAGGCTTTAAAAGGAATTGGACCCTGGTTCCATGTGGGTGTTTAGCAAGTATTTAGCATTCTTTTATTCAGGGAAAACACAGCTGACTGACTCCTGCTCTTATCCACAAACACTTGGTGATCATAGCCCAGATCTTCAGTCCCAGCCGAATTTATAGGTAGGGGGAACAGCTACTGACAATACAATAGCTCTGACAGGCATTTCCAATAGTCAGGAAATAGGAGCAGTTAGGAGGGTAGGCCCTGGAGTCACAAAGCTTAAAGCCAAATCCTGCCATTAATAGCTCTGTGAACTCTCTGTGTCACGATCTTCTCATTTGGAAAAATGGGAAACAACAGAATCTATCTCATAAAATTTGTGTGAGCACTGAATTAACACAAGGAAAGCACTCAGATCAATGCTTTGCACAAAGTGTTCATGTGTGTTTAGTGATCTCATGATGATTTCCTTTGCCAAATTTATAGAAATGAAAACTTTCCTACCACAGTATAATTAGATATACAGAATCTTGTATTTGGGGCGGCCCGGTGGCGCACTGCTACAGTGCACCGCTTGGGAGCGCGGTGGCGCTCCCGCCGAGGGTTCGGATCCCACATACAGACGGGTTCCCGCTCACTGGCTGAGCGAGGTGCGGACGCAACACCGAGGGTTGCGATCCCTTTGCCGGTCCCGGTACGGGCGCGACACTGAGGGTTGCGATCCGTTGCTGGACA